CAGGACAGGATCTTCCTGAGAAGGTAAGGAGACCACAGAGGCTGCAGGTTGAATCCTGCTTCTTTCACAAGCACCTCGCCAGCCAGCAAACCTGGACTCAAAATGCCCCAGCGTGGAGCAGAGAGTGGATTTGCAAAGGAAAACACTCTTTGCAGAGTTTCTACTGCAAAAACTTCCACACAGCAAGCAGCTGATGCGGATCAGGGCAGCGCCTGGGTACAGTCACCCAGAGCAAGTGTACTATGATGCCCTCATAAGCTTGACTTGTCTACAAGAGGCAAACATGCCTCTTTGACAAGCCTGCGATGCCTGAATACACAAACACTTCGCCAGAGCTTCCAGATCCAGCCTTGCTGCGCAAGAGGGTCAGCTGAGCCACCTGAATCCCTCCAGGCTGTCTCCCTGGGGCTCCCCAGGCTTTCCTCACTGTAGGGTCAAAATACAGGAGCAAACATACCCTTGTTCGGCTTGGCTTCGTCATCTCCATGGGGCCTCATGTTCTCGCCGAGTGCCACCTCGTACTGGAAGGCAGCTGGCCCACCACGTACTGGTAGCAAACCACTGTGGAGGACTGGGGATGCTTTTGGTCTACACTTAGACTCCCAGCTTTGGGGCTAGGAAGCAGCTTCCAATGGTTTGTAGCACGTCGTGATCACCAAGAGCATCTTATTTGCTTCACACACATGTGAGATGAGCCCAGAGCCTCGAGTGCCACAGACCCCATAGGGAAGATGAGCAATGCATCAGCGATGCCTTACCCCAGGGATCTCATTCCTCAGGGGGACACTTGTGCCGAGTCTAACATCAGCTGAACGTTACTTGCAGATACATGGCTCAGAGCAGTCCTCAGGGGCTGCTCAGTATCTGCCTCTCCAGCACTGCAGCTGGGCGATCCTTCCCCACCAGTGAGCATTTGGGGTTCAATCTGTTAACACTGTCCCAAGAAGAGGAGGCTTGTTACACAAACCCAACAGCAAGGAGGTACCTGCCACATCAACGGAAGAAAAAAGAAGCAGTCGGCGTTAATTAGGAAGAAGTGCTGGTGCCTGGAGGGCTTTTTGCATTCTCCACTTCCAGGAGCTGACTCCTGCCTGAAGAATCTTGTTATCTCAATAAATATTGCTAATAATTGAGGATCTGTCTGCTCGCCACAACGTTGTCCAGCTGACAGGAGCGTTTAGAGACATCTATGTTATTTCTTAGCCAAAGCTGCTGGGGTATTAGTTCAGCACTGAATAATTCTGCGTGGTCTCATTGATTAATCATACAGTTAAGTCTTGCAGGGCAGGACTGTGTGTAGGAAAGCCTCTAACTAGCCATCTAATTTAAGAAGTTGGTGAACGCACAGCCCAAGAGCAACGCTCATTTGTTTGTATTTCTTTATGCTGATGTGCTGTAAAACGTGGTTTTCCCAAAGCTCTCCAAAGGGCAAGGGGCAGAGACCCCAAGCTGTCCTTACCCATCCAAGCAGCCCACAGCTATGGAGAAGAGATTAATGCCTGTCCAAGGCTGGTTTAAAAATATTTGGCAAGCCCTGTGTGTTGACAGAAAATCAGGGGTTTGATGGGGAGAAGCTTGTCATGGTTTCTTTGGAAAGTTTTGTCTGCAGGGAAGAAAAGAACGGTTCTCCAGCTGAGTGCACTGTGAGGAACAGGAGACCTTCTGCTGGGGCATTTCACCTCCCACCCCAGAAGGTCTCAGTGCAACGTCCATTTGGGGATAATCTCTCTGGAGTCCCACCCCACAAGCAGCTGCATGCCGTCCATCTCTCTGGTTTGTTCCTACTCTGGTGGGCTTGAGCCATCATGGATCCCTTCTCTTTCATTCTCTATTTAAACTTTCCAGACTTGTAAAGGTTAACGCCATTTTCTTTGCTGTCAGGAATAACCACCCCCCACAATCCCAAACAACTCTTCCTATTTATATCCCTGCATTAATCAGAAAGGTTAGCACTTCTACATCTATGTGATTAAAAATTAGGAGACCGGATTCTGTAGTGGTGCCTTATAATAATAACCAATCCTGGGAGCACAGTGGATGAATAATGTATCATGGCTCTATGCTACTGGCTTCTTGCTTTCCCTTCTTTCTTCTCTTTTTATCTTTCATTCTTCTCTTCCTCCTCTTCCTTTCCTAGGCTGGAGTTTGAGTTTGGGGAAAGAATACATCCATCCTTCGTTTTGCAGAAGTTAGAGCTGTTGAGAGACATTGCTGATTCCTATTCATCAGACCTTCTCCTCCCCAGCCAGATCCCGTGGTTAGTGAGCCTGGAGACCATCAATAATTCATGGCTCCATGAATAACTGGGGGATGATAACCACTTCCTTGGGAAGATGTAATCAGGACCCATTCTCTCTCCTTCTCAGCTCCTTAAGCAGCTCCCCGAGTCTTGCTGCTAATCCAATAGAGGGAAACAGTAGGTTAGAAAACAAGGTTTTCTGGCACAGGGAAGACAAGTGGTTCCATGCATGAGGTTGTTCCCTGTCCCATGTCCCCTAGGTTTCATGGGCAGCTAAGGGACAGGCTGGACTGCTTTGAGGGGGTGATGTTAAGCCAGTGACTGCAAAAAAAACCCTTCAGATGTCAGCCAGTGGGACAGGAGTATTAAACAACCCACCGTAAAAGTCCCTTCATTTAATTCTGAGATGCTTTTCAGAGAAAGCCATGTGGGTTGGTTTTTTTTCCCTGCTCCACAAGATGAATTTCCAATATTTTACAAGCTGAGGTCAAATTCAATTAACAGCTTCAGTGAGAGGAAAAAAAATTTGAAAAATATCGTGCTTTTTTAAAAACAGTATAAACTCATCCAATGAAGGGGTGGTTTTTCAAAAAGTGGAAAGAAATCCTTCCTTAATAGTTAAATAGCATCAGAATTAAGCAGAATTTTCCACATTTTCATATTCAGGGGCTGACGCATTTCAACTAACCCAAACCACAGATTTTTCACATTTTTTTCCCTCTTGTAGCCTGAAAAAAAAGTACATTTTGGATCCATGTAGAAAAGCTTCCCCTCCCACCCCAGTCCCTGGGTTCCACCCACTGAGCTGAAAAATCCCATTACTCACAGCGTTTGGCAGATGTGTATGTGACCAGCCTTGTGTGCAACCAGCACATCTGCCTTGCCTACAAATCCTGTGCCGATGCAGGCAGCCACCTTTGAATTGTCAAGGAACATAATCCCTTTTCCATCTCCTGAATTCAACCCAGCGCTGGAAGAGCCAGCGAAGAGTTTTTAAATATTTCTCGGCCAGCTAAAATGCCGGGGCAGCTCAGGAGCAGAAGCAGAGCTGGGGATTTCAGAGCCCAACTTCGACGTTCGTTTTTGCGTGGCTCAGCCTGCTGCCAGCCAGCTCAGGGAGGGGGGAAACAGCGCTGACTTGTAACGAAAGCAGCTCCACTTTGGTGGAAAATTGGCAGGTTTCCCCCAGCTGCATCCCCTCAGTAAGGATGCTGAAGGGTAAGGAGGCTTTTGTCACCTGCTCCTGAGCTGGGTTTGAAGCAGCAATTTCTTCCTACACCCTTTGCTAGCATGAGCTCTTCTGCTTGGGCAAGAGGGGCTGCGACGGGGATGCCTTTCCACCGTGTCCTCCACATCTCTGCTGGCTTCCCAATGCTGCGTGGGCCCCAAGAGCTCCTGAAACAGGCCACGAGGTGGCTGGGCAACATGTCTATCTGTAGCAAGACCTGTATTTCATTGTCCAAAGGCTCTGGTTGGGAAGAGCTAGGCTGACAGCTGTACAGACCTCTCCGTCTTCAGAGCAGGTCTTGGCTAGAGCAGACCCCAGCAGGGTAGTGGGGACGAAAGGTCATCTCTGCAGGACGGAAGGGCAACCCCTCTCTCCAGCTGAATTTCCCATCTCTTACCACGCTGGAGGTGTTCAGAGATGCCAGGCTTCAAAAGCTAGTCACAAAAGAGGAGACCATGCTCAGGTGCCCCTCATCTCCTGCTTCCCTATTTCCATCCTTCCTTGTCTCTGGCACGAAGTGCTTCTCAACACAAGAAACAGATGCCCAGGGGCTGCGGGATACCAGCGAAGCCAAGTCCTGTAATGAGGATGCAGCCTCACACAGGCTGTCAGGCTGAGGTGGCTTCAAAGGAAGGTTGAGATCTTAAATGTCTCCTTGACATCCCCAGCAAAATCTGCTTTCACAGAGGGAGATGCTTAAAAGGCTCACCGCGGTGAGAGGGAGTCTGACCGAATGAGAGGAGTTTCGCAACCTTTTGCGCGGCAAGGCAGCAGCACAGGCGATGAGAGAATGCGACAGGGAAATCAAAGCAGGGTGAGGGAGCGCTCAGGGGTTCCTCCATCCCTCTGTGATGGAGGGCTGGCACGGGAGCCCGCTTCAAAGGCGGTCTGGAAACCACACTCCTGATGCCCATAATAAGCTGTTCCCCCCTGAGTGCAATAAGTAACGGTCCAAACCCAGCTCCCTTGCCCTTCTCCTCCAAATCACTCTCACCTACCTTCTAATTTGCAGTCAGAGGAACAGGGGTCAGACCAAAGCCCCTCCGAGCCCCGTATCCTGTGTCCAAGCAGCAGCCGGTTATAGTTGCCTGGGGAGAAACAGAAGAACAAGGCCAGCAAGCAGGGATATTTCTTTCAAATACTCTCCATCCAGTTTGCAGCTCAGGGACACCCTGGGCCAGAGGTGTTTCTGAGTATTTAGTAGCCCTTGGTGGATTTCTCTACCACAGGCTTGATCCTTCATATTACTGCAAAGCTCAGGCAGCCACCTGGCCTGTGTCCCCTCTAAAACTTCAGCCAGTTTCTGCTGCTGTAGTTCAAATCTGGGGCACACCTTTCACGTAAGCAGCAAAAGGCAAGCCGGCTATAACGTGGTAAGATGGGGTTGCATGCTGCCACAGCCACATCAAAGCCAGCTGCGGAGCTTTGAGAGGTCACAGTCCAGTCCTGCAGCCCAGACCCCACAGGTAACTCCAGGAAGGTTGGTTTAACGCTAGCAAATGACATTGTCTCCTCTGTGCTTTTTCCTTGCAGTTCCTCCAGACGATCCTGTCATTATGGGGGGGCCCATCATCAGCCTGAGAGCAGGGGACCCCCTCAACTTGACCTGCCATGCAGACAACGCCAAGCCAGCAGCCTCCATCATCTGGATGCGGAAAGGAGAAGTCATCAATGGAGCCACCTACTCCAAGGTGAGGCAGGATGGGGCGGGGAACGTGCGCTGTGCTCTTCCCTTGCTTCAGAAAGGTGTACCAGGCCTGGCGCTACTCTTCACACAGCCCCAAAACATCTAGGGCAGTGCCTTCAGCTCTGCAGAGCTGGCACTCTCACCCTACATCACCCCGTACAACCTTCCCGATGGAGAAGCTGGGAGGAAAACAGTCAGGAGGATGCAAGTGAGAAACTACAAACTGTCACCAAAATGGGCTCTGCTCTGAATCTGGCTGGCTTTTTGTACCCTCTCACAGCTTATAATTGCCTGGCATGCCCACTTTTCCCCCCAAAATCCCACCTGAGTGTGGTGTTAATATTGTGTACAGCACCACGCAGCCAGCACGGACCTGGCCTTGGCTCTAGCAGAACCTCCGGATCGAAAGGTGGTTGCAGTGACGTATGTCCCCTCCTCCAACTGCAATTTTCCATGGAAAATTGTCAGGGTTGTTGGCATTTTTTAATTTAAACGGAAAGCCTTTATTGGGTCATAAAGGAAAAACATCAAAGAGCAATCAAGAGTGTACTCAGAATGCGTACCCGCATGTTCTCCTGTTTATAAATGCCTGATGTCTGGTAAGTGCTAAAGATTCAGTAACACTTGACATTTCTAATGAAAATTTCTAAAGAACACAATTCGAGACATAAAATGGGTCAGTTTGCAGCCATTTGTAATGCAAGCAAACTTCAAAGTCAGGAGTCAAAGGCATTCCTCTCAAGCTCCTGAAGATCTTTTAATAAACATTTCACCCTTTGCTACCACTGGGAAGCCTCCACCCAGCAACATCCCGATCTGCTTGGAAAAGCAGAGGAGGCAAAACTCCCTCCTCTCCTCCTCCCTGTCACCCTGCAGAGCACGTTGATATCTCAGCTGAAGCCGAGCTGCTTCCTTGTAGCTGATGGGTGTGAACAGAGGGGGAAATTGCCCCTTCTCCCTCTGTGCAATGCAAGAGGCAGCACTAATTAAAGCCAGAGAGAACTGACCTCCTCCTCTCTCAAATCAAGTGGAATTAATTAAAACCCAGGCCATTGACATGCAGTTGTTTATAACTTACTCTGTTCAACCCAAGCCTTCCTCTCCACTGCAGACTGCTCAGACCTGGCCCCAGGGAGCCAACATTTAAGCCCTTTCCCTTTCAGACCCACAAGTGATGGCTGTCAGAGAAGAAAGAATGCCCCTCCTTTATTTTTCTTTAAAATATTTCCAACAAAAAAAAAAATCTTCTGAAGCAGAGCTTTCAGGCTGCAGCTCCATCTCCCATGCAGTACAGAGATTTCCATGGCATTTTAAGCAGCTGTCAGGGATGGTCTGGAAGGGGAGTCCTGTTCTGCGTGGGGGAAGCAGGGATGGTGTTGACTGATCTGGTGATGTTGAACCTCAGTTTCTCCTGACTTACTGGAGATTTTTCATGAAGCCCTTCCACAAATGCTTCCCTGCCACGAGCAGGGAAAAGCGATGCTCCGGGGCTAGGCATGCCCAGGGGTGGTCAGCCAGCACCAGCTGCGTCAGAGCTCATCACCTCAAGCACCACAGTCCCCACACATGCACAAGAAACCCTAACTTGACCATTTTTGTGACTGCCTTAACTTTGTGAAATGTTAAAAAAGAAAAACGCCCTTCAGAAAAACTCATGGCCAATTTTAGCATTTTTTTTAATGGCAAGTTTTGATTTTTTGGGGGTCTGAGAAATCTTTCCCTTTTGAGGCTCCCTTTACGATCATTCTTCAGTTTTCCTCTTTCTGCTTTTTCAATAAAACTAAAACCCAACTCAGATTTCATTTTATCCAGATATTCCAGTCAACCAAGAAGAAACACTGTTCAGGTTATTGATTGCCTGAAGCCATTTATACTGAGTGATAATTTCTTTGTTGCTCTGGATTTCCAATCCACCAACTGATTAATATGCAGCCCCCCTGCAATCACAGCCAGGCAGTGCAGAATAGCCACAGCTGACTGAAAACCCCATACTTACCCTGGTCCCTACTGAAGGGGACAGAGAATGGTCCCTATAGCCATAGAGGGTATTATAGGATCCTGCAGGGTTTGGAGGCTAACCCAGAGCTCAGGGGCACCATGGGGGAAGGTCCCATGAAGGCTTGCGGTTCACCACATCCTCAGCACCAAAAGTGGGGCTGTTCCACAAGGGAAGGGCACACAGGGTGACAATAAAGCAAGCACAGGGCAGCATCCTTCGCACCAAAGCGGGTTTGGTGGTGGTAGCAGGGTCAACCACAACACAGCAAGCTCCAGAAAGTCCATAGTCATGAGACAGCTCTGAGGTCAAGCCAGAAAATCCAGTCTACATCAGCACACCTAAAGCAGAGCCTGAGCTAGAGCCAGAGCTTAAATACAGCTCCTGGGCCTATAGGTGAAGAACTCCTGGGTAGATGCCCCAGATGAGGTTCGTCAGGGAAATTAAGGATTGTTGGTACACTCAGGCCCTAACGATCATGTACTAATAGGTCTTGGTCCTGCTTCTCCCCAGCTTCTGGGCTGATTGTGGTGACAATTTCTCAGCACCGTTCCTTGTCTAGTGCCTGACGGAGACACAAACCTGTATGCATGAACGCTGTGTCACGATGAACCCAGGCGGTGAAAGCATTAGTCTTGCTGCCGTATGTTTATAACTCGATAAAGCACTTGTCTTACGTTGTGAGGAGGAAACTTGAAGGATACAGACTTAGAGAGAAAAACTGCCTGGCAGGGTCCAAAATACATAGTTATGGGGTGGGTGTATCCGTGGGCATTTACCACTATTATCAATGGCTGGAAAAGCTGTGTTTCTGGCATTTCTGGTCCCCGGAGGATGTTGATAAACCAGAGAGAGGTCAGAGGGAAGCCCAGAGAATGATTAAAAGATTGCAAACCATGCAACATCTTGAGAGCCTCCGAGGGCTCGATCAGGTTAGTTTACAGGGCTACAGGGTGACGTGACCACGGTCTGTAAGAACTTGCAGGAGGATTAGGAGTTTGATAAGGCAGAGCTCCCGGGGCTCACCGATAAAGGCATGGCAGGGCACCACGGCTGGAAGTCAAAGTCAGATAAGTCCAGGGAAGAAACAAGGTGCCAAGGCTGAGCAGATAGAGCTGGTTAACCACTGCTGTACCAGGCTCGAGGTTTTGGATCTCCGGTGTCCATCACAGTGATCACCAGCACAACACGAGCCAGAGAAGTGTTCGTTTACCATGGGCTGGTCTGGACCACTGCACGGCAGCCAGGGACCCATGGCCAGGATCAGTCCCGTGCTGCTGGCAGCCGGCATCACCGCTCATTGCTACGTAAAGTGGCCCAGGCAGCTTTTTGCACTCACCTGGCATAGGTGCAGAAGGTGACAGCAGGTTCCAGAAGCCGGTTGCCCTATCTGTCCCCCGGCTCCCTCTTTCCTGGGATGGAGGGTGACATGTATCTCGCTGGAGCTGTGATTCCCAGGTTTAGGCACAGCAGGGCTGGAGGGAAGCAGATGGGACTTAAGTGCCCAATTCCCAGGGAAGTGCAGTGAAATTTGTCTGTGCTATTCCCCTAAGGCTTCTTGGCAGATTCCAGCCAGAGGAGCTGTTATTGCAGAGCGCGGTTGCTTGGCTGAGAAACTCGTATGAGCGAGGGCTAGCTGTGTGTGTGCAGAGCCTGGCACGACTCTTGGCCAGGGCAAGGGGCCCCTCTCCTGTAGGAAACTGCCTTTTCTCACCTCTGTTTCTCCCTCCCCAGACGCTTCTCCGTGATGGGAAGAGGGAGAGTATCATGAGCACCCTTTTCGTCGCCCCCTCCGACATTGAGAACGGGGAGAGCATCGTCTGCCGCGCCACCAACAAAGCCATTCCCAGCGGGAAGGAGACCTCCGTCACCATCGATATCCAGCGTGAGTACACGGCGGGCTGAGCTACCTCTGGGTACTGTGTGATCCCAGCCTCCCTGCTCTCTCCATCGCTGCCCCAGGGCTGCCCACATGGGTCTGACTCCAGTCAGGATCGGGATGCTGGGGTTTGGGGGTTTCCCTTGTATTGGGATTTACTGGTACATCGATACGGGGAAGTCAGAGGCAAGACATCTCATCTCCCCTGAGCTGCCTGGGGCGCAGACGGACAAGAACACCTACGGGGACAGGCTGCTTCCCTGCTTTTGCATCTCGTGTCCATGGTTTTGAGCAAAAGCAGCACCAGCTGCCATGCTCTGGGTGGCCGGCGGGCGTTGCACGTGGACGGACTGTGTGCCCTGATCCAGGCCTCTGGGGTCTCTGGAGCAGGGATGTATCCCAAATGTCTTTGGCTGAGAAAGGAGCATCTCTGGACACGGCCAGTAGCAGAGATAAGGCCCATTAAGATTTCTGGTACAGAAACGCACGTTTCCAGTCTTACAAGCTGTTCAACAGTGAGTTTTTTGTATTGTTCTCCACTGCGATGGCATGTTAGACACCTAATCGGTGGGAAGTCTCCCTCCCGTGAAATACAGCTAGTGTCAGTCACCATCTGATGGGGACAGGTGTGTGTCGAGAGCCATTTCATTTACCCTTTACTGTAAATCCATGAAGCAAAATCTTCCTTCCTCAAAAATTCACATTTCACAGATCTCTTCCCTCCTCCCCTGCAATAGCTGTTGCTCTCGGGCTCATCCTGACCTCCCTCCAGTGGGGCTTCATTTGCACACACAATTCCTGCAGCTGTATTTACCAACAATTTGCAAATGCAGGGTGTTCAATATTAGCATGCCAGCTGCTTTCCAGAGCCCAATTAAAACTGGCTGAACAAACTCAAGCACAGCAGAAAATTCACCATTTAAGACTTCCAGCTTTTGCTGCCGGAAGATTAACAGGCTCTTGGGTCGCTGGATAGCATGTCCTGACAGAACCAGCCAGATAAAATGAGATAATAGCATGGGTTATTTCACAGCCGGCAAACAGTTACAATAGCTGGAGACGCACACGCATTCTCACAAACAACGCAAAGCTGGAGACATCATTACACTGTGCTGTACAGTGTGGGGCAGGAGACATGAGCTGAATTCCTGAGCCTGATGGAATCTGCTTTGAAAAGAGAAAGACCCAGTAAAGAACACCGATTTCCACTCCGAGCCATTAAATACTGCATGCTGTGAAAGTAATAATAATAATATCCTATCCAGCTATTAAAAGTATGTTGTTCTTAATGGGGTCTAATGAGGATATCAATTTCCCGGTGCTGGATGGGTGATGAAAGAATAGAAAAATACCAAGATGGATTAGCCAGCCTGCGGTGGGGTGGATTTCGTCCCGGATGCAAGAGCCTGCTTTAGCTGCTCTTAGTCCATTAGGTTTCAATCCCAACCTGGTAGGCAATTGGCTGCTTTCACTTTGTGAAGAGCTAAAGGTACTTTTCTTAAGCAAAAATTGTCTGGGCCACTCGTTTTTCCTGGGGGAACAGCCCTGAGCAAGGCTGGCTGTAAAGGCAAGGTAGGCTACATACCCTTCTGCACCACCCCGGCGATGAAAGGAGGTCCTTCCCGCGGGTCTTCTTCCAACAGCTAGCAGAGAAGCAGCACCTTGGGGGAAAAGAAGAAGTGGTTTCTGCAAGGATAAGGAGGTGGGCAGCAGGTTTTGGCTGGTGAGCTTTCCCTAGCCCCGCACAACCTGCTGCATTTCACCCTGGAGCCTGCACATCTCTGCCTCCGCTGTTCACACCGTAGCAAACGTTGCCCAGCTGCATGGTTTGAAAGAGACGGCCTTGCAAAATAATCCCAGGGAACCAAAAATAATCCCTCCCAGGAAGCAGCAGCCTGGTAAATCACTCCTCCTGCTTTCGTTTTCTTTTGCAACTCAAAAGAGCATCAAAAATGTTCACACTCAGCAAAGAAACGCCAGGGTGGGGATCATTTGCTAGGCAGGGTGTATGCGCGTGGTGGGAGAGAATATCCTCTTTCAGCTGATGCAAAGTTGACGTTTGGCTCCCATCAATCTCATGCAGGCACTGCCTGACCATCTTAGCAGCCATGAAATAGCTGAGTCACAAAACCCTCCCCTTCCAAAAAAAAGAAAGGGGGAAAAAAAAAAGAACTGGAAAAAAAAACCCCAGAGCAGGGTCTGTAATGGAAACACTAAGTGACTCCAGCTGGAACATCTGTTCAATGTGATTTCCGTTCCACCAGCCACATCAAAGTCAGCCTCCTGTGAGTTATGCGCCGAACATCACAAGTGGGATTAAAATCATGTTTAATAGTTTGATATGCCATAAACTATTTATACTGCCAGAGCCCAGTGGCTCTATGGAAATGCACATCCAGTGTGCCGGGATGGGGAGGAGCGGGGTTATTGCTTATCCAAAGCCATTTGCTCCAAGCCTCTGCACACACATGTGCATTTGCTCATTTTTACACCTTTTTTTTTTCATGGCAAGAAGGGATTTGACTGCCTCTGTATTTTTTGCAGGAGGTGGGAGTAGGAGAAAGAACATGGAGGGTCTGTGGACCAGGGTGATGAGCAAACCGAGGGCCACGTCGCTGTGTTGGAGGGTCTCCTGCTGTGTTTATCCTTGTAGCACTGGAGTATTTTATTCCCTTTTGTGCTTCCCACTGGGGAGCGTGAAAGCCCAGAGCTGAAGTCTTAGTCTGCTTCCAGCTCCTCGTTCCTGCTCGTTTGGCCCACGAGCTGCTTTTGGATTCAGGGTAGAGGTTTGGAAGGGCTCGTCTGGGGGTCTGGAGGGGAGAGGAGCACGGAGAGGGGTCTGCACGTGCCCAAGAGGCAGCAGTGCAAGAGCCAGCACGCTGCCTGCAGCCCGTGGAGCTCAGCCCGTGACCCCAGCGATCATTTGCCAGGTGCTAATTTAAAATAGTGGGAGCTGAGGGGTTTGCTCAGGTGCCTCACTGGCTGCACGGCTGGTGAGGAGCGATGCTGGTCCCCCGGCGCGAGCCTGCTCGCGGGGATACGTGGTACCTGGGCGTGCGAGCATTTGCATGCACGCTCTCCTCCCGGCTGCCTGTAGGCTAGCTCTATCTGATTCCATCATTCAAATTAATTACAAGAAACCAGGCAGGAATTATAATTGTCACCGAGTGGAATTACATTCTGATGAGTTACAATTTGTCTCCTTTTTTTTTTTTTTTTTTCCCTTTAAAATACCCCAAAACACGCTCACACACACAAACTCACACTATCCGCGGCACCTGCCGCCTCGCGGGGAAGCTGCCACAATATTAGAAAGCCCAATCCCATTTGTGAAAGGCAAGATCAAAGACTTTAATTCATTTCCTTTGCTCTTTTTTCTTTTTTTTTTCTTTTTAATCTTCCTTTTTTTTCTCTTTTGAGTGCAGGGGGGAGCCAGGCTCATTTTAATACAAAGAGGCTCCTCTGTAAATCGTAGGCACAGCTACTAAACCATCAAACAATGGGGAAGCTACTAAAGAGAAGTGTGATTCATACTTAACAAAGGAAGGTGATTAGCTGTTGTTGTATAACAATAGGGAAGTGTCAGGATGCCTGCAAATGAATTAGGAGCCCACTATATATCTCTGGGCTGTTATGTTAGGGAAGCTCATTTATATTCCCAACTGCGCCCATCTTTATTGTCATTTGAATTGCACATTTTAAAATGAGATTAGGGTAAATTGAAAATACCTATAATTTCCCCGTCATAATTTCCCATCAAGAAGGCAGGTGGCTTTGCTCGCGACGAAGCGGGGCTCTGGCTGGGTAAATATCACGGGGCCTAATGAGGTGGGGACGCGGCGGAGGAGGAGGCACTGCAGCACGCCGCCGGCCCGCTGCCTTTCCCTCTCCCATCTCGCCCAAGCTGCTGCCCAGCCAAGGTCGCTGCTGAGGCCACCTCGGAGACTCCATCTTCATCCCCAGCTGGTGGCCTTGCTGCAAGGGAGCATCCCAACCCATCCCACGCCGGGCAGGGAGAGACAGGCTGGAATAACGCAGGGTTGCTTTGGGTGCTGTCCTGCTCTCTCGGCACAGGGACAGACTTTCTGCTTTCCTCTCCTCCCCTGCAGCTCTGCCAGTGCCAACCCTTCCCGTGCCTTTGCGGACCGCCATCGCTTTTTCCTCCGCAGCTCCTCCTACGCGTGAGGTTTCACCCGTTGCCATTACCTTGGCAAAGTGGTACCCAGAAGAGAGGTGGCAGCCAAGCTGTTCTCGCATCAGTGTGCCCAGTTAGAGCCCATACCCTCGAGCAAAAGCGTTGAGCAGCTTCCAGAGAGCCAGGTCTCTCCAGGACCCTGATTTGTGTATGGTGGAGGAAGCTGGTGGAGGGAGAAGCTGGCAGGGAAGCTTTCATCTCTGTTAAGCACAATGGCACTCCTTGAGCTTGCATTAGGCTTCATGGCTTCACAGCACCCGAGCAGTAAATTGAGCATCATAGAATCATAGAACCGTTTAGCTTGGAAAAGACCTTTAAGATCATCAAGTCCAACTGTTAACCTAGCACTAAACCACGTCCCTAAGCCACTAAACCTTGTCCCTAAGCCAGTAAACCATGTCCCTCATGCCACCTCCAGCCCTGCGACGCTGACCCCTTCTCCAGCGCTGGGCTCCAGGATGCCCACCTGCACATGAAACTACGGGAGGTCCCCTGGGCCAGTGGATACCAACCAGCTTCGCTTCCCTCAGGTCAGCCCCATCTGCTTGGGTGCTGAACGGGAGGGTGGTTGCTCAACTGCAGCCTTTCCCCGTGCTCCAGCTGGGAAGGATGTTGCTGAGGGTAGGAAGGCTCTGCAGAGGGAC